GATGGGGCAGCCACAGCTTCTCTGGGCACCCTGTGCCAGCGCCTCAGCACCCTCACAGGGAAGAGCTTCTGCCTTAGATCTGACCTGAACTTCCCCTGTTTCAGTTTGAACCCATCAGCCCATGTCCTGTCACTGCAGTCCCTGATGAAGAGTCCCTCTCCAGCATCCAATCTGCTGCTGTGCATCACCCTGACCCGAACACCATGGGTCTGGGGGCTGCTGAAGCAGAGATGGGCACCTCCAGGGAATGAAGGACTTGCAAAACTTTGGGACAGACCCCATGGGGCACCCACCTGCGTGTGCCACCACCTTGGACTCCAGCCATGGTGACAGTCACCATGAGACCGCTGCGTGCTCTCCCAACCCACACCAACACCCCAGGCACAAGTGGCAGTTACTCGGGTGTTTACCCAGAGGGATGGGTCCGTGTTCCAGGAAAGCAGCAGGTTTACAGCCCTCCTGCCTCTGTTTACTGCCGGGAAGAGACCTATCATGCCAGGAAGAACACAAGGGCTTCCTGGGAGCATGGAAATTGCTTGTCATTACAGGCCATCCTTGCAAAAGTGACCCTTGATCTGCACCCTCCAAGATCCCTCTGGAACTGTTATTCAGCACAAGGACGGTTGATGGCTTTTGGCAGCTTCCCAAAAGGGAAATCCCCATCCCAGTCCAGCGGGATCCTTATTCATAGCAGGAAAAGCAGGTGAAGAGAGCACTGGGGTCACCAACTGCCACCTGCTCCAGCAAAACAAACCACAGAGGCTGAAGTGAGGGATGCTCAGAAGCCCTGAGGGCTGTTTCCACAGCAAGAAAGCACAGCGATGTCTTGTTAGAAGTTAGGACATCCTTGTTAGGAAAAACACACCCATGGGTGCATATCCCAGGAGCTGCACAGGGACAGGATGGGACAGCTACCAAGGAAGAGTCTGTATTCCCACCAAAGCTGTCCATCAGGGCTGGGCAGGTCTTATAGTGACTCTCTGCTGGGTTTCACCCCCAAAAAGATCTGGCTTTACTCTCCCCTGGGTGGAAAGAAGGATGTGGTCTGATGCTTCACTGCACTTTCCTGCTATGGTCCACCCCAGGCTGCAGCTTGGCTGGGTGCTGGGTAACCTCCAGCCCCTTCTAGTCAGGATCTCCCAAGGGCTGTGTCACTGCTCATTTACCCCACTCGAGCTTCTCACTTCCTTCTCCTCCATCGCTTGACCATCAACACTTGGGTCTTACCAAGGAGCTGGTGATGTCTTTGGAAGTGAAACTTCCCAGGCAGTGTTTCTGGAGATGTTGTCCTGCTG